TCATCTAGCTGCCTTTGTGGGGCGTCTCTGTTGGGTATGTGGGGAGTGTATGGGTGGGTACCTAGGGGGATCTGGTGTGCTTTTAGGGACGCAGTGGGTATGCTTGCAAAAGTGTCTCTGTGGGGTGTGTTGTGTGGAGCATAGATGCATGGGAGGGTGTCCAAAGTATGTATGCATATGGAAAGGTGTCTACACACAATGTATTTGTGAGGGGGAACAGTGTGCTTATGTGGGGTCTGTGGGCAGAGGGGGAGTGTGAGTGTGTGTGTGTGTGTGTGTGGATGGGAGAGTATCGGGTGTATAGATCTGTGTGTGTGTGGTGTGGGCCTGTAGAGGGTGGGTAGGGTGTGTGTTTACATGTGTGCATCCGTGAGGAACATGTGTGCTGAGTGAATGTGTGTTTCTCGGGCACGTGAAGCTGGATGCGCTTGTGTGCCCTAGAGTACAACGTGTGTGGGCCGGGGCACAGGGTGAGTTTTCGTCGTGAGTGGGAGGGTGGGGGGGTGTACGTGCGTGCCGGTATACGGGGTGTGCAGCGTGTGGCTGCGCGGGGGCGCTGTATAGTGCCTCCCGCGTGTGTGTGTGGGTGTGTGTGTGTGCGATCGGGGCGGCCGCGCACAGGGGCCGCCCCGGAGGGGGAGGTGTCTGCCCTGCGCGACTCGCCGGCGTGTCCGGGCTCAGGCGCCTTCAGCCGGGAGGCGCGGGAGGCGCGGCGCTGCTCCAGCCGTCCTGCCGCCGTCCGCGCGGGCCGTCCGTCCCCTCGGGGCCCCTGGGTCCCGGACCCGCGGCTCCGGGGGGCGGGCGGGGACCCCCGGGGCCCGCCTGCCACCTGGGGGACCGAGGACGCCGCCGGCCGGGCACCGTGGAGCGGCCAGGGGCCCCCGCGCGGCGCGCCCCGCTCCGGAAGCCCGGCCCGCGGCGCACTGGGGCCGGGGCGGAGGCCGGGCCCTGGGGCCCCCGCCGGCCGCGGCGCTCGTGGGTAGCGCCGTGTGGCGCGTGGAGCGCGCGGGGGCCCGGGGCTGGCGCTGGGAGCGCGCCGTCGGCGTGGACTGCAGCGCCCCGGAGCCGCGCTGCCTCTGGCTGCCCTGCCTCGCCCACAGCGACCGCCGCGCGCCGGAGCCGCGCCGCGCCAGGGTGAGCGCAGCCGGGCTGCCGGGCCGGCGGGGGATGGGGGCGCGGAGAGCAGGGGTCGGGCCTTGTCGGGGCGGGTGGGATCGGGCCACCAACTCCTCTGGATCCTTGAGCCGAGTGCGCCCTGCATTCTGGGACCGTGCCCCGGAGCGGGGAGTGAGTGAGGAGCCGGAGAGATGCGGGCGAGGGTGGCAGGTTGTGGCTGGGAGCTTTTCCGGGGGTGCTGGATGTGGACCCCCAGTCTGGGTGGTGGCCTGCAGTGGCTCAAGCCCCTTGGTTTATACGCCGTGCAAGGTTGGAAGGGACCAGGGTTGTTTGAAGAGATGCTGGGGCACAGAGTCCTGGGGGCTCTGCTGGGGCAGGGAACCGAGTCAGAGGCAGGCAAGGGTGTTAGTAAGTGGAGTGGAGGGCACCACTCGGCCCGCTCCCTGGTAGGGGCGGTGGGCACGGGCACAGGAGGGTTTCCTAGTGGGCAAAGGAGGCTGAGGTGGCAGGTAATGAGTGATCTCAGGGGGAGAACTGACAGGGCTGGAGATAGGGGGTGGGGACAATGTGTCTGATGTCCGGGATCGACGGGGCTGGTAGGGCGTGAGTCACAGTGGGCGCCATGCCCAGCATGAACGCTGTGCTCCCTGCAATGACCTCTTTATGCTCCTAGCGGGGAGGAGCAGGACTCCTGGGTTCTAGTTACCGGTGTTGCTAACCCACCACGTGTCCAGTTCTGTCTAACTTGTGGCCCTGGGGCCATCTGCCCTCTTCCCACCATCAGCTGGCCTTTCTGGATGTCTCTTTCCTGACATGAGGCTGATAACATTTGGAGATAGATCTGGGCCAGGAAAGCGGTAATCAGTGATGCCCCTGTGTCCCCCTGAGCCTCTCCCTCTCCATCCCCTTGTCTCTGTGCCTCTCCCAGAGAGGCAGAAGTGGGGATGTGTGTGAGCTGAACCCCTTCCCAGTCTAGTCGCCTTTCTGTTCCCGTTGCTGGCTCCTTCTCTGTTTCTGTGTCTATCCGCTGCCTCCCTGTCAAGATGAGAGCCAGACCCAGTGTTGTCCCAGGTCCGAGGGGAGGAGAGGAAATGTGTGCATCATAGCATGAAGGATTGCGGTTAAATCCAAGGAAGAACTTCCCACAGGGGAGCCGCCAGATCTAGCTGCAGATGGGGGCTGTGGTGTCTCCTCTTCAGGCAGGGGTATAGTAGCTGCGGCAGGGGGATTACACACTGACATTCTCAGTGAGTGGAAGGGATGGGGGGAAGGGAGACTGGGAGGAAGGAAAAGAGGAAAGGGAGAGGCAGAGAGATAAGGGAGGGGGTGCCAGTGGTGTTTGGGCCAAGAGGGGACCTGAGAGAAGAAGGCCTGCCCCCTGCCCTGGGTTACAGCCAGGCCCCCAGAGACGGGCACCCCCAGGCACCTGGCAGCCCCAGGCAGGATGTGTGTTGGAGGAGGGGTGGGGGGCGTGTGGGGACCTGTCCCAGCCACTTCTTGTCACTGGGGCAGCTGGTGGCTTAAACCTTAATCCAGGACACCGGCAAAACAATGGGCCCTGCGAACAGCCTCAGCTCTGAGCCCGGGTAGAGGGCGTGCAGGGGAGGCAGCCCACACTGGGGAGGAGCAGGGGCTTCTGGTAGGAGCAGGCAGGGAGGGTCCCCCAGGCTCTCTTCTCTCCCTGATCAGTTCCTTGCCAGGTCAGCAGAGATAGGAAGTCCAGGGGATTTCAGATCTCAGCAGAATTCCCAGAGAATTTTCTCCTCTGGACTCTTCAGACCCCCCATGGGGGTGTGGGGCTCAGTGGAACTGGAGGGGGTATAGCTACAAGTGGAAGGAGCCGAGGGGTCATCTCTGGGCCTCCTGTCCCAAGCTGGAATCTCAGCCACGGCCTCCCGGACTGGGGGGGGGGGGCACCCAGCTTTTGCTCCGACCCTTCAGGGGAATGAGCACTCACAATCTCATCTGGTAGCTTTCCAGATGGATATGATTAGAATGGTCTCCCTGGCCTGGAGCCTCGCTCGGGCCCCCTGTACCTTCCACCTGGCTGTGTTCAATGGGACTGCATGAAGCAAGCCTACCGCCGCTGTCATGTTTTTCTTTCATCTTCTGAGACTTGAGGTTCCACCCCCTCTCCCAAGCCTGTCTGACTACAGTCCCACTTCCCACCCCACACAGAAATCCCTAGCAAGGGCGCCTGGGTGGCTCAGTCGTTAAGCGTCTGCCTTTGGCTCGGGTCATGATCCCAGGGTCCTGGGATCGAGCCCCACATCGGGCTCCCTGCTCAGCTGGGAGCCTGCTTCTCCCTCTCCCTCTCCCCCTACCCCCTGCTCATGCTCCCTCTCTCAAACAAATAAAATCTTAAAAAAAGGGAAAAGAAAAAAAAAAAGAATCCCTAGCGAAAGGGCTGGGCCCAGGGCTGCCTTCCACCACAAGTGTGAACAGGCTAGGGGATGGATTCATGAAGGAGCGTCTTAGTATCAGTTCATCCGAGTCACAAAAGTGAACTTTTTCCAGCTGTTAGACGGGGGAGAAGGGGACTTAGTGGGGCAGGCGGAGTCCTCACCCCAGAGCTGGTGGACTTCTTCCTTCTACACCCAGTTGCCTTTGTTCCCCTGATGACTCCTGCCTGGTGCCAAGGAGGAGTGGGGGGTTGAGGACCGTCAAGGGTGGGTGTGAAGGGGCTTCTTGCCCTCTGAGGTTTGGATGAGGGCCCTCAGATAGGTTAGGATGCCTGCGGTTGGAGGTTAAAGAGCCCCGAGGGAGGCATCCTGGCTTTTCACCATCTTCTCCAATCTGCTGTCCGCCGCCCTGGGCATGCATCTGTCTGACACCCTTCTGTCGCCCACCCACTATCCCTCTCTGCGTCTGAGCAGGGAACCTGAAGTCAGAGCTGCTTCTCAGGCAATGTCCGTGCTCTTCTCCTGCTTGCCCCAGAAGCGGACCTGGGTGCCCCCAAACCCTGGTCTTCAGACATCCTCTGCCATGCCATCTTGGGGAATCCCAAGTATTCCATCGGGCCGGCCAGAGGGCAGCGGAGTGTCTCTCCCACCCCCACCCAGTTCCCCTCTTAGATCCAGGGAATAGCCAGGCCTCTGGCTGGGCTCCGGAGCCTCAGGAAGTCCCTTCAGTTGTCCAGGCCGCTCCCTCGTGGCTCCAGCCCCCCACCTGTTGCTGTTGCTGCTCCTGAAGGATGCGTGTGCACGTATGTGTCTGTATGTCTGCGGCATGTGCCGTGTGCCTGGGTCTGTATGCACGTGCGTGTGTGAGACCCTGATTATGTGCGATTGTGTGTGCACGTGTTTGTCTAAGCTAGGTGTGCTTGTGTATACTCCTCTGTGGGTCCATCCGTGTGCACCTTGGCACAACAGTGTGCTTCTCTGGGTGTGTGGTGTGTTCCGTCTGCAGGAGTGCATGTGGACGTGTCTGTCTGCATAAGTGTGCGTGCGTGTGTGTGTGTGTGTGTGTGTGTGAGAGATGGTACAGCAGCGGCAGTGAGTGCAGATGGCTGCAGGCACTTCCCAGGCGAGAAGGCTGTGTGTCCAGTTCCCGGAGCAGAGTAGGTGCTCAGTGAACATTTGCCCAACTGACCTGAATGAATACCTGGCTGGCTGGGGGGAGCCGGTTCCCTGGAGGCAAAGCCGTCGTGAGGGGATGGAGGGGAAAGAAAGCAAGCAGCAGCTTTGGGCTGATGAGGGTGGCAGAGGAAGGAAGGGGGCGAGGAGGAGGTCAGGAGCAGGGGAGGGGGCCTGAAACCCCCCCCGCAGGGGCACACGCCCCCCACCCCCTGCCCCAGTCCCTCCTCCCGGTCGCGGGAGGCAGTGTGCAGACTTGGGAGCGTGGGCCACGCGGCCACTCAACCCTGTCTCCCTGTGCTCCCACAGCTGCCCCTGGGCCCGAGAGATGGGTGCTCGCCTGGACGCCCCCTCCCCTGGCAGGGGCCGCAGACCCTGCTGCTGCACAAAAGTCTCCAGGATGGCTTTGGCTTCACCCTGCGCCACTTCATCGTGTACCCGCCCGAGTCCGCTGTGCACTGCAGCCTGAAGGTACACCCGCCTGGCCCCGCTGCCCTGGCCTGCCTGAGGAAGCTTTAATGGGGGGCGAGGAGGGGAGGTCCCTTTGCCCCGCCCCCTCCACAGCCCTTCTTCTATGGCCTGGGTGGAGGGTCACTGAAGGGCAGGGACAGCCCTGGCTGGGTCATTAGCATTGTGTGAGTGTGGACAAGCTCCCTAACTGCTCTGGGTTTGGTCTTCCCAGGAGAAGGGGCAGGGTGGATGGTTCTGGGCAAGGAACTTGTGGGGGGAGCCAGGATGCTCACGCCCACCCCCAGACTCTTGGCCTCTGGAAAGTGAAAAACCTTCTCTGAGACATGGAGTTCTGGGGACTCTGTCCTCTTTGGCCACTTCTGAGCTGGGTTTGTTGCCCCCTCCCTGGCCTGAGCTCTTGGGGAGTCTGTTTTAACCCACCTCTGGGACTCCTGGAGTGCCCCGGCCCACACTGGCCTAGGCTCTGTGCTCTGGAGAGCACCAGGCTGGGAGGAGGGTGCCCTGGGTTCTAATCCTGCTGCAGCTCCTACCTCACTGTGGATCTTGAGGTGGAGTCACTCCTCTCTGGGCTCCATTTCTCCTGCTGTAATGTGAGGGCATTTATCTACTTGACCCCCAAGAGCCCTTCCGGCCCTAATATAAATGTCAGGTTCTCTGAGTCCAGGAACCAGGGTTGCTGCGCCCAGCATACAGTGTGGGCTGAGTGGGGACGGCCTCCCTGCCGGTGAAGCAGGCAGGCAGGAAGATGTGAGGGGGCCCTAGGCAGGGACCAGGGCTCCCCAGGAGGGCCCTGCTCCCTCCCCCACCTCTCTCCCAGCAGGAGAGGAAACAGATTTATTTTGGAGTCAATGAACCCCATTCTCCCCTTCCCTCAGGGCTGGGGAGAGCTGTTGGGGGCTCTCCTTTGGGGAGCTCAATCCCACCTGCCAGAGAACCAAGGCCTTGGGTTTCACTGTCTGTGTCTGTGGACTTGCATGGCTCTCTGTGTGCAGTTGGGTGCGCAGTATACTGGTCATGTGCATGTGTGTTTGTCTATCTGGACATGTGCATACGGGTATCTGTAAGTATGCATCTCGTCCCTCATCCATGTGTGAATCTGGGAGCACCTGCATAAATGATTCCCGTTGTCTGCAGCTGTGCTTAAGAGTGTAAGCGGAGGGTGATGGTGTGTGAGAAGGGCTCAGCGCCCCCTTGACACCCAAGGACCTCAGCCTCCTCGGTCCCTGGAACGTCCAGTCCTTCCTGTCCTTTTTCCCCAGAATGTCCCTTCTGCCTGGCTCCTGCCACCTTCTCTCAGGGGACCCTGCTGAGGGGTGACCGGAACAGAAGCAGCCTGAGTGGTCGAGGCTGGGTGGTAGGCCTGTCTGAGAGAGACCTCGTGCATGTGGGGCGCTGGAAGACCCCAGGCAGGGCAGGCCAGGGACAGGCTCCATCCCATTTCCAGAACCTGCCCAGGGGTGGCAGCCCGCTGGGAGCTCAGCCGTCTAAATGCATCCGTCTGCCTCTGCCACCAGCTCACTCTGCTGTCAGGTCACATCAGCTGGCATGCACACTCCACGCGGGGAGGGGCAGGGGCAGAGGGACTGCTCTCCAGCCGTGCCCAGTGCCTTCGTGTCCTGGCTGGGGTGCCAGAGAGTCCTGGGTTTCAGCCTTGCTTCTGCCACTACCTCTGAGTGGCCTTGGACAAGTCACACCCTGTCATCTGCTGTGGGATGGATGGTCTGTGGAGCATGGTAGATCAGATGACACCCAGCATCGCATCCAGCTCTAATGTGCCACGTCCTGCTGCCCTGTCCTGTCTCCCTGACCTTCTCCTTCCCCTCATTTCTGTTTCCTCCCCAAATCCGGTACTCTCCCCCTCACCACGAGGATGATCCCGGAGGCCTCCCTAGTGGGTCTCCTGGACTCCATTTCTTAGCCTTGCTAGATGTTAGAATCCTCTTCCTAACTGGTATTTCACATCCACTCTCTCCCACCCAGGAACCTTCACTGTCTCCCTCTTTCTCTCCTTTCTACCCCCAACGCTTTAGTTTGACTTCTGGCACTTGTTGGTGTTGCTTTCTTTATCCTTCAGCTCAGCTGATCCAGTCCCACAAATGCTTGCTTCTTTCTGCCACCCAGTGCCCGCCTTCATACACCCCTCCCCTGCCCCAGAGTGCCCTTTCCCCTCCCTCCTCAAACTTGCCTTAAATCCCCTCCCCCAGAGGGGTGCTAATCAGGCCTTCCCTTCCATCTCTAAGAGCTGATCGCCACTGTTTGCACTTGTCCTGCCTGCTTATCAGTGTCTGCCTGGGTCCCCTCTGCGGGTTAGCACGTTTGGAACGGCCTCCATCGGGCTTTGAGCTCCCCAAGGGAAGGGGTCATGGGTCACCCATCAGCTTGGGGACTTTCAGATGGCTGAGATACAGGGCTGTGGGATCAGCAGTCACGAGAGAGTGTTCATATTACTGGGGAATATGCCTGGGACTTGATGTCCCCACTGACACCACCCCCCCCCGGCCCCCTCTGGGCATTGGGCTGGTTGCAGGAAGATAAGAGGGAAGCTGCTGGGTGGGGGAGCTTGAGGGGCCCGCCCAGGTGGAGCTGCTGAGGGCTGGATGGAGGGTCCACACCCACCTCTCTGTCCCCTGCAGGAGGAAGAGAATGGAGGCCGAGGAGGAGGAGGTAAGGAGTGGTGGGGGTGGGTGCCAGGGCTGGGGCTGAGTACCCGTCTTACAGCTTCTATTTCTCCCCCCTCTGCCCCAAGTCGGCCTGGATTTTGCTACCCCCCCCCCCCACTGTTGTTCCAGTCTTTGCTCTTCTCTGTGTCCACTCTGGATATCTGCTCTCTCTCTCTCTCTCTCTCTCTCTCTCAATCCTTCTTTTCTCACATTTCTCTCCCTCTGGACCTGTCCATTCCACACTGGGAGCAGGGGGTACTCTGGGGAGCAGATGGCTCTCTAAGACCTGGCCTTTGGCCCCTGGGAGTTACTCCCAGCCTAGACTGAGGCACAGACAGGGCTGCACAGCCTGTGGGCTGGTGATAGGGTGCAGCTGACCAATGGCTGTCCTCAGGGATAGAGACACTGGGGTTCTATTGGGTGTAAGGGGAGCCCTGAGGTCTTTATCTCTTCAGATGTGGGCCTAACTCCCCTGGCTGTCACCCTTGCTAGCCCAAGATGCCCCTTTCTGCCACCCAGGGTATTCAAGATGGGCAGCCTTCTTTCTCTGCCACAGGGGCTTCTGCTGGGCAGCCGTCAAGGAGGCCCATGGGGGTGAGGGCAAGAGCCAGCTGACTTAGAACGGGCCCATTCCTCTGATGGAGACAGTTAGCTGCAGAGGATAATTGTTGGGGTGTAATGTGATGACCTCAAGGGGGTGAGTGTCCATCTCGGGATCTGGAGGCCTCTGCTTAGACCCCCCCCAACTCTGGGGAAGGGTTGGGGGGGAGGTGTGGGCATTGAGTGTCTGTGAGCTGCGGGGCCTTTCTGTGGCTCTCCCCAGGTCTGTGGGTGCGGACGTTCTGCCCCGCCGGCCGGGGAGCTCCAGGAAGGCAAGGCCCACGTCTGTCCATCCATCTGTATTAGTCTGCTTTCTGGCACAGTGCTGGGGTGTGAGAGGCATTTAAGGAGTGACCCTGTGTGTCCGTGTAGGTTTTCTTCCACATGGGTTTTTGTTCTGCCAGGGGTGTGTCCTCTTGTGGGCCCCCCCGCCCCCCCGTGCATCTGTGTCTCTGTGAACGTTCAGGTCCATATTTGTGTCCTTGTGAGTGTGATCCTTCTCTGAGCGTGTGTCCCCTGTGTGTGTAGCTGTGCATGGGTGTGGCCTTCAGCAGCCACCCCCAGCTAACCTGGCTGATGCCCACCAGGACCCTCCCCCCGGCACCACCGCCTGGAGCCCATGGATACCATCTTTGTCAAGAATGTGAAGGATGACGGCCCCGCCCACAGAGCGGGCCTGCGCACAGGTGAGCTGTCCTGGGTACCCAGCTCCTTGTGCTTCCCTGGGTCTCTTCTCCTTACCCTCTGGTTAGGATGGGATTCTCAGATCTGGGTGTGGGGGAAGCTCCTGTTCTGGTGCTCTCATCCATACCCGGGACAGGGGTTCTTAGGAAGGGCCTCTGCCACCCCTTGGCCTGCTCACATTGCGACCCTGCCCCTTTTCTCCAGGAGACCGGCTGGTGAAGGTGAATGGGGAGAGCGTCATTGGGAAGACCTACTCCCAGGTCATAGCTCTGATCCAGAATAGGTGAGCGCCCCCTGCCTCCCTTCTCCTGTAATAGCTCCCAGCCCATTCACCGAGTCCCTGCACCCCACCCCCTTGACCCTGGCGGGGGTGTACCCTGGCGACCAGGATCCCTGTTCTCCCAGACCCTGTTGCCTCAGCCTGGCCTGACCCCCTGCCCTGTCTCTGTAGCGATGATACTCTGGAGCTCTCCATCATGCCCAAGGATGAAGACATCCTCCAGCTGGTGAGTCCTGCCCTGCTGTCTGAGGTGGAGGGCCCCTGGGGCCTGGGGGCACGATACATCCCTTCCCCTCGGGCCTCCCTTCTGCATTGGACACTTTGGGAGGCAAAGAAGAGTGTTGGGGACAGCACCAGCCCGGCATTGCCCAATCGGGGCTGCCAGGCCCATCCCTGGGCTGAGGCTGGTTGTTGCTTCAATCGGGGCTGCTCTCTGTGTTGGGGGAGGGGGAGGCGGCCTTGGCAGGCAGGATTCCTGCCAGGGTATCTGGAAGGAGGGTGGCCCAGCAGGCCCTGCCAGACTGGCATGTTCTTGTCAGCTCCCAGGAGCCTTTTCTTCACACCCCCTCCCTGCCTGGCCCCGAGTGAGCGTGTCTCCTGTAGATGTGTCCACCCACCCCCCCCACACACACACTCACTCCACCCCACCTTTGAGTGCTCCTGTTCACACAACACCCCATGCACCACTCGATACACAAGCAGAACGTGCTAGATACACAGCCACACAACAGAGCCCCACGGCACCTACCTGTCATCCAGCTCACCATACACCGCACGACGTGGTAACACACACGCAGTATCCCAGATACACCGCCCCAGGCCCGTGCGGCGACACACACAGGCACATTCCCACACATCCTCAAGCCTCAAGTACACAAACATCAAAACAGCGAAACACACCACTGGGTGTCACAGCACACGTATCCTGACTTCTCATCACCACGTGAACACTCACTGACGTGACAGAGGCTTGCTGTAGGTCACAGCATGTGCGCCCACAGACATCACAGCATGCTGCAGGCCCGGCACTGGCCCAGCACCCAAGCTTACACTCTCGGCATGCCTGCGCCAGGTGCCCCTCCCTCTGTGGGCACATCAGCAACACCCAGAACCGGGCCCTGGGCCGCCACACACAGGGCGGGCACCCAGACCGCACACATGGTACCCTGCCCCACACACTCTGTGCGCACATGCACACGCACACTTGCACCCTCTCTGTGCACCCCGATCCCAGCCCTGGCCCAGAGCTCAGGCCAGTCCTCTCTGGCCAGTGTCCAGTTTCCTGATCTCATGGGTCTCAGCCAGATGCCAGCTCGCTTGCCCCCAAGGTCACTGCCCCCTGGGGGAAGGCTGAGGGCCAAACCCAGGAGGCCCTGGGAGCCGCCGGGCTGGCTTCTGCCCCGGATGTGCTCGCATAATCACTGTAATCACAGTGCCATGCTTGGCACCATGCCCCTCTGGGAACCTCCACCCTCTGACCTGGATTGTCCCCTTGTCCTTCCTGGGGAGGGGGAGGTAACGCTGGAGGCCCAGAGAGGTGGATGGGCTCCCCACAAGTCTCAAAGGCCCTGCGGGTACACTTCCCCCAGGCTGAGGCGAGGCCAGCAATGAGGGAGTGACAGGGCGGCATCTCGGGCTTCCCAGGATCCCTCCGGCCTTCTCGGAGGACGACGGCAGGGGTGGGGACAGCAGCAGCCTTGAGCTCCGTTACCCAGAGAGGTCCGAGGTTGAGGTTGAGGTCCGAGGTTCGGGTGGGCAGGCAGCCCCAGATGTCAGCATCTGGGGCCCTGCGCCGGCCCCCCACCATCCTGGGCCAGCCAGAGGGTGGGGCCCAGGCATTCCTGTGGTTGGGAGCCAAGGCTGGAGGCCAATGGGGCCTCGGCAGCTGCTGACGCCACCGCCGACGCGGCGAGGCCCCTCCACACCCATCTTCCCCTCCCTCCTCCTCCTGAGAGAGAGAGAGAGAGAGAGAGAGAGCGCGCGCACGCTTGAGAGAGCGCCGGTGGGGGCCGAGGGCAGCCACAGGGAGGGCAGACTGGGGGTGGGGGGGATCGGAGGCTGGGCCAGCACGGTGGTCAGTGGGGGTTAGCCCGGAGCTGGGCGAGGGCGGAGGCTGGCCGAGATGCTGCCGCCGCCCTGACGCGGGGAGCCTGGGGAGCTGGCAGGATGGCAGGAGGGAGAGGTACGTGAGTGTCGCCGGCTGGGTGTGTGGGTCCGAAGGGGGCTGAGTGTGTATGTGGGGGGTGTGGTCTCACTTGTCCTCATCACATGATGTGTGTGCCTGGGACCGGAGGTATAGTTATTTGTGTGTGTCTGTGTCTCATTGTGTTTCGCTCTGTGTGTGTGTGTCTTTGGGTGTGTATTTTCCGGTATCTCCTTGTGGTGTGGCACAGGCACGCTCGCGCGCGCCCGTGTATCACTCTGTCTGTGTGTTTCACCCTCCCAGCCTTTGATACCTCGCCCTGCGATAGGCCCCCTGGCACCCATCAAGGGCCCGGCTAGGCCAGGGCCACAAGGCCGCTGTCCCTGGGGGCTGCCTCCTTTTTTGGCTGGGCCTGGGCACCGGCCCTGTCACTCCTCAGCAATGCAGCGTCAGCCTCAGCTCCCAGTGCCAGATTCCAGGCCTGGGGTGGCAGAAGGTGGCCCAAGGCCCCTCAGGCAGTCTGGCCCCTCCCCCAAGCCTGGCCCAGAGGGAGCAAGAGGTGGGCAAGTTTCTCCTCACGCCAGCTCCCCGTCCAGGGGATGGAGGGACAGCTGGGTTTTCCCAGCCCCAGCCCACCCCACCGTGGACACACCCCTTCATCAACTTCCCTCTGTCTCTGGCCACCTTGACTGGTCTCTGGTGGGGTTTCCCAGCTCTGCCAGAGGGGCTGTGGGCACTGTTGGATATAAGGAAGCAGGGAGGCGGCTGAGGCCAGCGTGGGGGCAGGACCAGAGAAAACAGATGTTGGAATGTTTGTGGCTAAAGGCAGTCCTTGTCATAAGTCTTAGAGAAATCCTGGCTATTTCTCCAGTGAGAGAGTAGATGTGTCCACCCACCCCCCCCACACACACAGAGGGAGAGAGAGAGAGAGAGAGGGAGAGAGAGAGAGAGAGAGAGAGAGAGTGTGTGTGTGTGTGTGTGTGTGTGTGTGACTCTCAAAGGCCTCTAATTTCTTTGTTCTCTCCCGTGTGTGTGTGTGTGTGTGTGTGGAGCATGCCCTCCCTCTCCCACCCACTCAGGGCTCGTGTGTGTGTGTGTGTGTGTGTGGTCCCCTTCTCTGGGGTCCTGATCTCCCAGGGCTGGTGTGTGTGTGTGTGTGTGTGTGCATCCTGCCCTGCTCACCTGCCTCTGTGTCCCCGGGTGTGTGTGTGTGTGTGTGTGTGACCTGAAGGGGAACGAGCCGTATTCTGGAGAGGCCGTGTGTGTGTGTGTGTGTGTGTGAATCTGCTACCCTCGCAAGACTTATGCCCCGCCAGGTGTGTGTGTGTGTGTGTGTGTGATGGTGCCTGAGCCCCTCTCAGCACTGCCCAGTGACCCCCGGAGTCCTGCCGCCTGGAGTGACCCGGGGCCCCGCGTCCCTTCTGCCGCCCGCGTGTGTGTGTGTGTGTGTGTGTGGGGGATGAGCCAGCCCCGCTCCAGCCCTGGTGCCTGTGTGTGTGTGTGTGTGTGTGTGCGGACGCCCCGTGCCTTCCCTGAGCCTGGCGGCCGGTGTGTGTGTGTGTGTGTGTGTGGCCAGCAGGCTTTGTCACACTGGCTGTCAAACCAGGTGTGTGTGTGTGTGTGTGTGTGACGGTGCCCTGCCATGCCCCCCCGGGCCCGCAGTGGTGTGTGTGTGTGTGTGTGTGTGGTGACTGCCCACCACCCATGGCCCTGTTCCACCTCGTGTGTGTGTGTGTGTGTGTGTGGTCAGGAAGGCTGGCACCGAGCTCGCTCAGACGACGTGTGTGTGTGTGTGTGTGTGTGTGCCGAGGCACTGGGGCCAGGAGCACTGGTGTCACGTGTGTGTGTGTGTGTGTGTGTGGCTTCCCAGCGTCCGTCTGCCCGGACCTCTGCCTGGTGTGTGTGTGTGTGTGTGTGTGCCCAGGCCCCACCCCCACCTGGTCTCCAAGGCCTGGTGTGTGTGTGTGTGTGTGTGTGCCGGAGCTACAGTCCATCATTCCAGCGCCGGACTGGTGTGTGTGTGTGTGTGTGTGTGCGGGACACACCCTTTGGGGGGCTGCCCACCTTCAAGTGTGTGTGTGTGTGTGTGTGTGTCCCACCGGAGGCCTCCGAACCGCCCAGGGTTGTCCGCCCAGAACCCAGCACCCGGGCTCTGGAGCCTCCCACTGAGGATCGTCGCGACGAGGGTGTGTGTGTGTGTGTGTGTGTGACAGGCCGCAAGGTCCAGCTGCCCCCTGCAAGACAGTGTGTGTGTGTGTGTGTGTGTGAGTCCCCAGAGCCAGAGACCAGTGGGCGAGTGGAAGTGTGTGTGTGTGTGTGTGTGTGTTTGGCCACTACTGAAGACTCTCTGGCTTCCATCCGTGTGTGTGTGTGTGTGTGTGTGAGGTGGCTGTCTTGGGAGACTTGGTCATCTGTGCCGTGTGTGTGTGTGTGTGTGTGTGACCATGGGTGGAACTCTGTCGAGTGCTGTTGGGATGTGTGTGTGTGTGTGTGTGTGTGCATCCATCCATCCATCCATCCAACCATCCATCCATGTGTGTGTGTGTGTGTGTGTGTGTCCATCCATCCATCCATCCATCCTTCCATCCATCCGTGTGTGTGTGTGTGT